ACGTGACACTGTACCTTTCCAAGCCTCTTACACTCCAAAGGAAATTAAGCTTCAGGTTAGCTTTTTTTGGTCCTCTTCATCTTCGAGATCAATCACTTCCATTACCATAACGACAGTAAGTGCATAAAACCAGTAAATATCTTGTAAGAAGTGACCAGGTTTTCATCGACTCTTAAGTGGCATAATAAGAATTGATCAATCAAAAATTATCATCTCAAAACCGATAATGCTATCATAGCTATCCTCCATGAGTTAGGAAGCAGGCGAAAAAAACATTGATTACCAAATTTTCTTCAAAAAGTCCATAAGTTAATCATTTTGGTACACAGGAATTCTGACTTGTAGCATGACTGTAAATGATCGAGGAATTCGGCTGAAATTCAGATTCTTCTACAGTTAGCACTATTTGCTGTTATTAATTTTTTCGATTCAAGTATTCGTCGTTTCTCCGGAAATAAGGTATTTTTGAAAATTTCTATAAAAAGGTTTCATGATTCCAGAATATATTTTTATTTGTGATGTACTTCTCACACAACTTTTGCTATAGTATCCCTTAAAAAAGTATTGCAGTCCAAATACATAACGCGAGTTTTGCAATAGCGCTAGCATTCCCGTTCTCCCAAAACGCGACGACCTCCACTGTCCATCCGGACCCGATTAGATAGCCATCTAAACGTGCGGCAAGACGAACGAGCGCAACGCGTCGCTTTGCTGTTGTTTTTCTCCAAATTCATTCGAGTTTTCTGACTTTTATGAGCTTTATTGGCTTAATACGAGCCACTCATACTTTCTCTCATGTCAATTAATCTAGGCGCTTTAACGTTGTGATGCCTAGGATCCAGCAATCTTGCAAAATGCTGCACTAGTGAAACTTCGGGAACTGCGACTTTCGGTAGTGACAACGGGGAAGATTTATTTCCTTAGTAAAATCTTTGTTTCATATTTCGTAACCATTACTTTCTATATGCTTCTATATCTATCCCACGAATTACAGGAAATCCCACACATCTATCACATTATTTTTATTATTTTTGCATGCTCTGGCCCCAATTTCTGCCAGACACCCAAATTTGGATCTGGTGACACTTCAGGATCACCTATTTATGACCGCGTCTACAATTGCCACTTAAGTACCTTCTTGTAATAAAATAACGCGGCCTACATAATGCAAGGGTCCTAAGGTCACACTCCACCCGTTGAGTGCTTAAGAGACGTTACTGAGAAATGAGGAATATATTATGGGATCTTGCTTTTATAAAGTGAGGTACGACGCCATATTCTTTGTAGCGACAGAGAGATTAAACGATAATTTTGAATAAGATTGACTTGTTCGAGTAAGTGAGGTTTTTGGAGGGAAAATGGTGTAAAGAAAAAACAATTTTTCAATCTTACGATCTAATCAGGTGAATCTCTCATTACTTCATTGTTTGTACTATA